CTTTTATTAGCTCTTTTAGTTTATTAAATGCTTTTATATAGCCTTTATCATTATGATTTATTTTCATATCTTTCTTTAAATATTTGATAATGTGATACGCCACTTTCGAGTAATCTTTAATAAATCTCCTGTAATATCCCGTAATTCCTTAAAATGCTTTAATCTCCTTAACATTTTTTGGAAGTAGAATCTTTTCTATTGCTACCACTTTCTCCGGGTTCGGTTTAATTTCTTCTTTTGTAATCATGTGGCCTAGGAACTTTGTCTCTTGCCTTAGAAAATTGCATTTATTTATTTGTATTTTTAGGTTCTTCTCTTTTCATCTACTTAGTATATTATTCAGTGATTCCAAATGTTCTTCTATACTTGTAGAAAATATTAGGATGTCATCCATGTATACGATGCAAATTTTTCCAATATAATCTTTTAAAACTTCGTTCATTAGCCTTTGGAATGTTGCCGGTGCATTCCGTAATCCAAAGGGCATTCTTAAAAATTCGTAATGTCCGTTTGCAGTGGAGAACGCCGTCTTGTATATGTCGCGCTCGTCCATTTCAATTTGATGAAAACCTTTAGCTAAATCGAGAGTTGAGAAATATTGGCATCTTCCCAATTTGTCAAATATATCGTCTATATTTGGAATTGGAAATCTGTCCTCCGTAGTTACGCTGTTCAACTTCCTATAGTCGATTACAAGACGCCATTTTTGTTCATTAGTTGCGTCCAGCTTCTTTGGAACCAGCCAAATAGGGCTGTTGTAAGGACTAGAGGATGCTCTGATTATGCCTTGAGTTAACATTTGGTCTATTTGCTTTTCTATTTCCGGTTTGTGGATTTCTGGATATCGGTAAATTTTAGAGTAAACCGGAATGTCATTCTTGGTCATTATTCTATGTTTCGTTGTACTAGTAAATGTTAAATTATCATCTTCATTATAAAATATGCTCTTATGTCTTTTAAGAATATTTCTGAGTTTATTTTTGTCTATACCGTTAAGGTGATTAGTGTCAACGAATTCTGTGAGACATTTATCTCTTACATCGTTATTGAAGATTTCCACTCATTTTCTTTATAACTTATTCTGTTGTATATTTCTTCTTCTTCTGTTAGATAGAAATTTATTGTTGCTTTATTAGTTTTTAAAATTCTGTTCGGGTAGTCTATTATGCAGTTAAATTTCGTTAAAATATTGTTACCTATGAGTCCGTAGAAGTTTTTGTTGAAGTTACATTCAAGAAATTCACATATGAAATCTTTTTCATTGAATTCTGTGAAAATTGGGAATCTGCAAAGTTTCTTAACTTGCATTGTTCTTCCCAGTGCTGTGACTTGTACATTTATTTCGCTCTTCCATTTGGGGTCACAAACGTGCTCATTGATCTAACTGAACTCTGCTCCTGTGTCAATGATGAAATGTAGTTTGCGTACATGTGTGTTTATTACTATATAGGGTAGTTGTTTCTTGTATCCCTCCGAAAATTTTAATGCTGTGTTTCCAATATCCATTGGCTCTGGTCTATTACCATTAGATACTCCTGACCGATTATAGTTTCCTGATTGATTAAAGTTTCTCCTTTGATATCCATTTCCCTGTTGGTTAAAATTTCTCTGTGGGTTAGAATTTCCCGGTTGGTTTTGACTCGTGTATGTTGTCTGATACGACATTCTAGTTTGGTTTGATCTGTTGCTATTATTGTTGTATTTATTATTATTATTATTGTTCATATTCATGGGAACGTAGCCGCCGTCATATCTGTTGTGTGGCATATTATTGTTAAATCTGTTCCTGTTATAATTGTTATTGTTATTTATATATTGATTAGAGCCAAACGATGTCCTATTATTCGTGTTATCGCTAAAATTAGTCCTACGGTAGCTATTTGGGTTTGGATCTTTCCTTGTTTGCGTAAGTGCTGGAAAGGGGTGATGTCGAGCTTCTAAGATGATTTTGTACGCTTTATGTAGATTATCAGGGTTTCTTGCTATAATCATTGTTTTTGTAGGCTCTGGAAGATGTTCTTTGAATGTTTGTAGCGCTATTCTGTTGACTTCTTCCGTTGAAAAGCTCAAGTCATTATGCGCCAATATTCTATTATGTAGTTTGTTCCTAATTTTGTTAATTCTAAAGTGGTAGTTTTCTATTGTGGAATCGAGTCTGGTGGTCTTCAGCTCGTCCATGAGTTCCATTGAACTCCTCTTTTCCCCGCAATTGCTCAAAAGTATTGGTTTCAGTGTTTCCCAGTCATTGATTTGTCCGTATCTATGAATTATTTCCCTAGTTTTTCCTACACATCTTCCTTTCAAGTAATTAAACGGTATTCTTTGATTGTTTTCATCGAATATTGTTATTGTGGGTATGTGTGTATGTCTTCGACCTGTCTAATAAAGTCCGTCAATTGGTTTGGGTCGCGTCCGTCAAATTCTGCAATTCCATTAATGCAGTTTAGGGTAAGCTGAAAGTGTGATATGACATTTGCCTCCATTTTTAAATAAAATAATTTATTTCAAATCTCTACTGTTTCTGAAAAATTTATCTACCCTGTGCGTTTGCAGTTTTGAAAAGAAAATGACAATAAGAGATATTTATTTTACTTGACTTTTATACGTATGCTTTTCTTTATGCTGTTGTATATATATGCTATATCTTAATATAACACAGAATAATTAGTAAATTATATCTTATTGTATGTCAATATGACTTGTCAATTAAATATGAACAAAATATAAATATATGTATATAAAAAAATGTTCAATTCATTTTTCTTCTTACTGTTTTTGTGGCTGCTTTTGCTTGCTCGTGCTTTTGTTGTTCTTGTTCTTTGTTATTCTTGTTTTTGTTATTCTTGCCTTTTTGTTGCTCGTGCTTTTGTTGTTCTTGTTTTTGTTATTCTAGCCTTTTTGTTTCTCGTGCTTTAGTTGTTCTTGTTTTTTGTTGTTCTTATTATTGTTATTCTTGCCTTTTTATTGCTCGTGCTTTTGTTGTTCTTGTTTTTTGTTGTTCTTGTTTTTGTTATTCTTGCCTTTTTGTTGCTCGTGCTTTTGTTGTTCTTGTTTTTTGTTGTTCTTGTTTTTGTTATTCTTGCCTTTTTGTTGTTCTTGTTTTTTGTTGATCTTGTTTTTGTTATTCTTGCCTTTTTGTTGCTCGTGCTTTTGTTGTTCTTGTTTTTTGTTGTTATTGTTTTTGTTATTCTTGCCTTTTTGTTGCTCGTGCTTTTGTTGTTCTTGTTTTTTGTTGTTCTTGTTTTTGCTATTCTTGCCTTTTTGTTGCTCCTGTTTTTGTTTTTTGTTGTTGTTGCTTTTTGTTGTTGTTGTTGTTTTTTTTTTTGCTAATTGTTCAAATATTTAATGTTTATTTGGTTTGATTTTTGAACTTAATTTCACTTTGTCTTTTAAACTATGCACACTTTTTTCTGCATATATTTCCGTTTGTTAAAATATTATAGTCTTTCAGCTTTTTATGTTTGCTGATTACTAATTGTTTTTTTTTTATAATTTTGTATGATTTGAATTTATATTATCGTATAATTATATTCGTATAATTTTAATTTCATTTATTTATTTCTAATTTTTCGTATAATTTCGATCGGATCGGTTTTCGCAGTTCTCGGTGGTAAGCGGGTTTATCCTCGTCGCCAGTTTTCGGTGGTAAAAGGTAACTTCAACCGATAAAGAAAATACAAAGCTTCTTCGCTAAGCTTACTTCTGAACTGCTCCAGTTTACTTTATTAACATCTTATTTATTCTTAAATCCTATGAAATAAGATGCGCTTATGAATACATTCCATGGAATAAAACATGCTCTTATGCATTTATTTGCTTGCTTGCATAAATTCTATGAAATACGCTTATGAATACATTCCATGGAATAAAACATGCTCTTATGCATTTATTTGTTTGCTGGCATTCCGGAGTGAGTGATACTTTTGTTTATTTTTATTATCGCGAGGAATATATGTACATATGTTAATTATATTCCTCAGCGATTCTGAAATATTTGACGGCTAACGTTATTAGGATATGTCAATATATGACTATATACAAAAACACATCTCATACTCTCATAGAGCTTTCTTTTAGGCACATTCACATGCATACATACCAACATAAGAACTTTCTTTTGGACACATTCACATGCATACCAACATATATGAGAACTTTTACGTAATTACAAGAACTCACAGTGGCCCTGTTGTTGCAAATGAGTACTAAAAAGGGTTATAGTATGGGAGTGCACAAGTTATTTAGATCTGCCTATGGTTTACCTCAAAATCTCTGAAATCAATTATGTTACGAAATAAACTTCATTCCTCCTGGAGAATTGGAATGCCTTTAAATCGGAATTGGAATGCCTTAAATCGGACAGAGCGACACTTGTTATCAGAAATGAAAAACTTATTTATTTTAACAAGAAACTAAATTCTGGTCTCTCAACAAAGGTTCTATGGCGTAACATTAAACGGCTTGGTGTTCATTGTAAGGAGAATGTCGAATGCTCCGTAGAAGCAAATGAAGTTAATAATGCCCTTCTTCTAAACTGTTTACCTTACAGTGACACTATTAACTTTATATCCAGGGATGATCTTTTGTTTAGGGATGACTGTTTTCTATTTTCAGCTGTTAGTGGAAATGATGTTGCCATGAATATATTTAAAATCTCATCCAATGCAATAGGGCATGATGGTTTAACAATTATATTTATTAAAAATGTATACCTTGCATTCTTGGGGCACTAACAAACATTATTAATCATTTTTTTACCACGTTTTGTATCTCAGAGCAATGGAAAATTGGCACTGTACTACCTGTCTCTAAAAAGAACCATCCTTGTAGTCCGTATAAATTTCAACCAATAAGCATCCTCCCTGTATTGTCTAAAGTTTTTGAGATGTTTTTAGCTAAGCAAATAAACGAATTTGTAAGCAAGCACAACTAAATAGCTTCGTTTCAAACAGGCTTTAGGAAAACTCACAGCTGTAGTACTGCGGTACTAAAGATCCCTGATGACATTCGATCCAACATTGATGAAAGTAAATTCACCTTGCTTTGCTTTGCTTTGGCATGCATCTGGAACGTCCGGTCCCTTAATTGGGAAGGTACCGTTGCCCAGTTGGTTGATGTTATTGTAAGAATAAAGGCTGACATCAATGCAGTCCAAGAAGTGCGATGGACGGAACAAGGACGATAGCGAGTAAGTTGTGACATTTACTACAGCGGCCATATAAAGGAGCGCATTTTGGTGTTGGACTTGCAGTGGGAAAGAGACTCCGTCGTCGAGTACTGGCATTCATCCCGGTGGATGAGTGTCTCGCCACAAACCGCATCAAAGCGAAACTTTTCAACACGTCGCTGATTTGCGCCCAGGCCCCGACGGAAGAGAAGGACGATTTGGCCAAAGATGCCGCTTATGAGCGCATAGAGCATACTTACGAGCGCTGGTAAGTATCTTTGGTACAAGTTTTGGACAGTTCAGCCTTCACAACGGAACATCCCGTAATGGGTTGAGGCTGGTCGACTTCATCGGGCCGCGAAATATGGTTGTCTGTAGTACTAGATTCCAGCACAAAAAAATACATCAAGCTACTTGGCTGTCCCCTAACTGAAAATCCCAAAACCATATCAATGATAGTGTAATAGACGGAAGACATGTCTCCAGTGTTCTTGACGTGCGTACACTCCGAGGACCCAACATCGACTCGGACCATTATCCTCTTGCACCGAAGATACGTATGCGCCTCTATGTACCGAAGAATGCCCGTCAACAAACACAAAGAAAGTACGACGTCGGGAGACTGCAATCACAACAGACTGGCGAACTGTTTTCTGTTCGACTTGAACTCCTGCTTTCTGAGAGGGCTCATCAACAACTCGGTATACACGAACTAAGGGTCGGAATTTTATACTCTCTACGTACAGCTGCAAACGAAACTATGGGATTTCGTAAGGGTCGCAAAAACAGCAGGTATGATGAGGACTGTCGTGTTGCATTGGAGAGAAAATGGACTGCCCACCTCGCAACTCTGCGATTGTCCACAACAAGTGCGGGATGAGATAGATACGGAGAGATGAAGAGGGAAGCAATACGCATTCCACCGGCAAAACTATTTGAACAGGGCGGTGAAGAGCTGAAAAGGTGCATGGATCAGCTTCTTCGCAGAATATGGTCGGCCAAAAGTATGCCCGATGATTGGAGTTCGAGTGTGCTCTGCCCAATCTATTAACAAGGGGTTCACATACAGTGGTATAAGCCTAAGCCGTCTTTAATACCGCCTATGAAGTCTTGTCGAGCTTTTCGTGTGAAAGACTGAAGCCCACCGTCAACAAACTGATTGGATCTTATCAGTGTAGCTTCATAGCTGGTCAGTCAACCATTGACCAGATATTCACCAAGCGTCAAATCTAGGAAAATAGCCGTGAAAAGAAAATTCAGACCCACCACCTGCTCGGCGATCTAAAAGCCGCCTTCGACAGCACGAAAAGGAGCTGCTTTTATGCCGCTATGTCTGAATTTGGTATCCCTGCAAAATGTATTTGTTTGTACAAGCTGACGCTAAAAAACACCAGAAGAGCAGTCAGAATTGGGAAGGACCTCTCCGAGCCGTTCGGTACCAAACTATGTTTCAGACAGGGTCACTCTTTATCGTGTGACTTCTTTGATTTGATGCTGGAGAAAATAATATGAGCTGCAGAGCTGAATAGACCAGGCACAATCTTCTATAAGAGTTTACAGCTTCTGACGCACGACGCGAATATTGACATTATCGGGCTCAACAAGGGTTGATATAGAAGCGAAGAGAATGGGTCTGGTAGTGAACTAGGACAATACGAAATATCTCCTGTCATCAAACAAACAGTCATTGCATTTGCGACTTAGATCCCATTTCACTGTTGACAGTCATAACTTTGCAGTCGTAGATAACTTCGGCTATCTAGGAACCTGCATTAACACCAATAAAAACGTCAGCATGGAAATCCAGCGTAGAATCGCTCTTGCCAAACTCTATAAGTCCCTCATCGTTCCCGTCATGCTATTTGGTGCGGAGGCATGGACAATGACAGCATCTGATGAGACGGCGTTAGGAGTTTTCGAGAGAAAGGTTTTACGTAAGATTTATGGTTCTTTGCGCGTTGGCAATGGCGAATACCGCAGACGATGGAACGATGAACTGTGCGAGTTATACGGTGACATTGATATAGTTCAGCGAATCAAGAAGCAGCGGCTACGCTGGCTAGGTCATGTGATCCAAATGGATGCAAATACTCCAGCTTTTAAAGTTTTCGATGCAGTACCCACTGCCGGAAGTAGAGGAAGGAGGGGAAGACTTCCACTCCGTTGGAAAGACCAGGTAGAAAAGGATCTTGCTGTGCTTGGTATTTGCAATTGGCGCCAAACATCAAAAAGAAAACACGAATGGCGCATTGTTGTAAATCGGTTATAATCACGTAAGCGGTGTCTACGCCTGTAAAGTAAGTACAGTAAAATTATTTAGTTGTTAAAAATATAAATACTTGTTGTATATTTATATATATATTTATATAATTTTAGTGTTCAAAAATAAAGTGCTAAAAATTAGCCACGTAAATTTGATTTACCAAAGGGCTTTTTTTAAAGAAGATTTGATGCACCTAACCCAGAGTTTGATGTGGGTTGTGAATTGAAACTTTTGTTTAGCAAAAGCTCCTTTTAAAAAAGAAATGTAAGCAATTATTTTGTGTACAACCATTTAACAATGAAATACAATTTTTGTTTTCTTGCTTACTTTTAATTATCGGTAGCGGATTATTTATTTACAAGATCCCAGACAAAGACACTTGGGTATGTCCTATTTCGGAGCGACGTTACATTTACAATAAATTGTTGTTAAACTTTACTGATTTTAATTTCTTATTAATAGTTCGCAGTCACATTGGATCAGTCATTTAATAAATGATCAGCAACGATGTAAATGGATGGCGAGTAGAAAGTTGAGTGAAATTATATATATACAAAAATATTTAACAACACACACATTCAGATATACGGAATTCGATTAAATTAAATAAACATTTATTTTTTTTCGTGCAATTGTTTATTTGTTTCTCTAACATAATGAATGTTTTTGGACCGACTAAATTTTCGAAATTTAGCAGGATTTTAACAGAAAATACATTAGTTCTATTCTAGCTATAGGGAATTGGGCCGTGTGTAAGGGTGTTGAGATCATCGCATTCGCGACATGGCTCCCACGTCACTGTTGACAGTCCTAGATAACTTCGTCTATCTTGGAACCAGTAGTAGTACGAAACTCTACAATTCGCCTATCTTACCCGTCCTAATGAGCTGCACGAGCTAAATGCTGTTATTGGCATAGTCCTTTGAAAGAAGAGACGGCGGCTATGCTCGTTAGGTCATGTCGTCCGAATGGATGAAATCACTCCAACTTTGAAAGTATTCGATGCAGTGATCAATGCAGGAGAAGAGAAAGATCCTTACTTCGATCAGGTGATGAGCGACGTGGCTTCATTTGATATTTCCAGCTGGCACCTAACAGCGAAAAGAAGAAACGAATGGCGCGCTAATATTGATTTGGCTATGATCGCGTCATCAGCCGTTCGGATGCGACTTAATAGTTGGATAAACATCAAGACGCATAAATCACAAATTAGAGGAGGAGCTCAGCCGAAAATCGCTTCAGCGAGCAAAGCACCAATTATATTATATATATTCGTATATAGTTGTATATATATAGTTTATCTGAACATTCCAAATACCCATTTCAAATTCAGCAAGAAGAATACAAAGCGGTGCATGATCAAGCCACATCTGCTTAGAATGTTTACTATAAATATCATCATATTTTGACCGAACACTTTCAGTGCAGTATATACTTTAATGCAGCATATCAGATTTTATTTATATAAAAAAAAAGATGGAAAATTACTTTTTATAAATCAAATAAGTTTTTTTCATTCAATGAATTGCCTGACAAAAAGGGTTACCTTGATGGGGTAAATTATGTAAATACATTTACATTCATTTTTTTTTGTTTTACAATATAAAAATTTGAATCAAATTATACTTATTATATTTAATAGAATTAAAATATTTCTAAAAGTATTAAAAACTTGTGTGCATCATACACTAAAATATACTTATATATCTATGTATAAAACTTTTATAAAATTAAAACGATAAGCTAACTAAGCTACTGGGTTCATACCCCATTTATAAAGGTGTTAATCCTTTTCTTTTTAATTTTTAATAATTCTGCTAAAAATATATTTTTTTTTATTTTAATAATAGGAACAATAATTACAATTTCTTCTAATTCCTGATTAGGAGCTTGAATAGGTTTAGAAATTAATTTATTATCTTTTATCCCCCTAATAAGTGATAATAATTTAATATCTACAGAAGCCTCATTAAAGTATTTCTTAACTCAAGCATTAGCGTCTGCTGTTTTATTGTTTGCCATTATTTTAATATATTTAAATAACTTTCCTATTACAGAAAATAATTCTATTTTTAATAACTTAATTATTTCATCATCACTTTTATTAAAAAGAGGTGCTGCACCTTTTCATTTTTGATTTCCTAATGTTATAGAAGGATTATCATGAATAAATGCTTTAATTTTAATAACTTGACAAAAAATTGCCCCTTTAATGTTAATTTCTTACATTTCACAAAATAATTTCATTATTTTAGTTATTATTTCTTCAACAATTGTTGGATCCTTAGGTGGATTAAATCAAACATCTTTACGTAAAATTATAGCTTTTTCTTCTATTAATCATTTAGGCTGAATATTAACAGCTATACAAGCTAGTGAATCAATATGATTTACATATTTTAATTTCTATTCTTTTTTATCATTTAGATTAATTTTTATTTTTAATAATTTTAAAATATTTCATATTAATCAATTATTTAATTCTTTTTTTAATTCAAAAACATTAAAATTTATTTTATTTCAGAATCTTTTATCTTTAGGTGGATTACCTCCATTTATTGGGTTTTTACCTAAATGATTAGTCATCCAATTACTAGTAGCTAATAGACAATATTTTTTAATAAGAATTATAACTGTAATAACTCTTATTACATTATTTTTTTATCTACGTTTATGTTTTGCTGCTTTCATACTAAATTACTTTGAAAATAACTGAACTATTAATATTCAAATTAATAATTTTTCATTTAAATGTATATTATTTTTATCATTTATTTCGACTTTTAGATTAATATTAATTTCTTTAATTTACGCTTACTTATAAAAAGCTAAGGCTTTAAGTTAATAAAACTAATAGCCTTCAAAGCTATAAATATAAGTTTAATCTTTTAAGCCTTAGTAATTTACTTACTCCTTTAGAATTGCAGTCTAATGCCATTATTGACTATAAAGCTATTGTATCAAAATAATTGATTAAAAAGAAATAGTTCTTATAAATAGATTCACAGTCTATTGCCTAAACTTCAGCCATTTAATCGCAACAANGAATTCAATGAAAAAGATTTCATATGTGAATTTCTTGAATGTAACTTCAACAAAAACTTCGATGGACTCATAGGTAACAATATTTTAACGAAATTTAACTGCATAATAGACTACCCGAACAGAATTTTAAAAACAAATAAAGCAACAATAAATTTCTATCTAACAGAAGAAGAAGAAATATACAACAGAATAAGTTATAAAGAAAATGAAGTGGAAATCTTCAATAACGATGTAAGAGATAAATGTGTCACAGAATTCGTTGACACTAATCACCTTAACGGTATAGACAAAAATAAACTCAGAAATATTCTTAAAAGACGTAAGAGCATATTTTATAATGAAGATGATAATTTAACATTTACCTAGTACAACGAAACATAGAATAATGACCAAGAATGACATTCCGGTTTACTCTAAAATTTACCGATATCCAGAAATCCACAAACCGGAAATAGGAAAGCAAATAGACCAAATGTTAACTCAAGGCATAATCAGAGCATCCTCTAGTCCTTATAACAGCCCTATTTGGCTGGTTCCAAAGAAGCTGGACGCAACTAATGAACAAAAATGGCGTCTTGTAATCGACTATAGGAAGTTGAACAGCGTAACTACGGAGGACAGATTTCCAATTCCAAATATAGACGATATATTTGACAAATTGGGAAGATGCCAATATTTCTCAACTCTCGATTTAGCTAAAGGTTTCCATCAAATTGAAATAGGCGAGCGCGACATATAAAAGACGGCGTTCTCCACTGCAAACGGACATTACGAATTTTTAAGAATGCCCTTTGGATTACGGAATGCACCAGCAACATTCCAAAGACTAATGAACGAAGTTTTAAAAGATTATATTGGAAAAATTTGCATCGTATACATGGATGACATCCTAATATTTTCTACAAGTATAGAAGAACATTTGGAATCACTGAATAAAATTCTAATTAGATTAAAAGAGAAGAACCTTAAAATACAAATAAATAAATGCAATTTTCTAAGGCAAGAGACAAAGCTCCTAGGCCACATGATTACAAAAGAAGGAATTAAACCCAACCCGGAGAAAGTGGAAGCAATAGAAAAGATTCTACTTCCAAAAAACGTTAAGGAGATTAAAGCATTTTTAGGAAATACGGGATATTACAGGAGATTTATTAAGGATTACTCGAAAGTGGCGTATCACATTATCAAATATTTAAAGAAAGATATGAAAATAAAGCATAATGATAAAGACTATATAAAAGCATTTAATAAACTAAAAGAGCTAATAAAAGCAGATCCAATTTTAATCCACCCAGACTTCAATAAAGCTTTCACTTTAGTGACAGATGCCAGCAACTTTGCTTTAGGAGCGGCTATAGTACAATAGAAAAAGAGTTACTCGCGATAGTTTGGGCAACGAAATATTTTCGTCCTTACTTATTTGGCCGACATTTCACTATCAAAACAGACCATAGACCATTAATTTGGCTGAGCAACTTAAAAGAAACAAATGCTAAACTCCAAAGATGGAAAATTAAGTTAAATGAGTTCGATTTCGATATCAACTATATTAAGGGAAAAGAAAATGTAATTGCGGATGGCCTAAGCAGACTAAATTATGAAAATAATAACACGGCGGAAGTAAATATAAATGAAATGTTCAATGATGACGACATAGATACGGTACACAGTGCAGAAACTGACAGTACGTATTACATAAAAATAACGGAAAACGCAATTAACATATTTAAAAACCAATTCATACTTCAAAGAGCGCAAAGACAAACAATAACAAAAAGAATATTATATAAAAAGAAAATAAGAAATACAATAAATGTGACACCTGAAAGCGACATTTTAAAATTAATGCGAGAAAATTTACCTGNGGAGGAGGAGACCCTATTTTATACCAACATTTATTTTGATTTTTTGGACATCCTGAAGTTTACATTTTAATTTTACCAGGTTTTGGAATAATTTCACGTATTATCACCCAAGAATCAGGAAAGAAGGAAACTTTTGGTTCATTAGGAATAATTTATGCTATACTAGCTATTAAATTATTAGGATTTATTGTTTGAGCACATCATATATTTACAGTTGGTATAGACGTTGACACACGAGCTTACTTTACATCAGCAACTATAATTTTTAGTTGACTTGCTACATTTCACGGTACACAATTAAATTATTCTCCAGCTATACTTTGAGCTCTTGGATTTGTATTTCTATTTACAGTTGGAGGTTTAACAGGAGTCGTTCTTGCTAACTCTTCTGTTGATATTATTCTTCACGATACTTATTATGTTGTTGCTCATTTTCACTATGTTTTATCAATAGGAGCAGTATTTGCTATCATAGCAGGATTTGTTCATTGATATCCTTTATTTACTGGATTAAATTTAAATCCTAAATGATTAAAAAGTCAATTTATTATTATATTTATCGGAGTAAATTTAACATTCTTTCCTCAACATTTTTTAGGATTAGCCGGAATACCTCGGCGATATTCAGACTATCCAGATGCTTACACAACTTGAAACGTAATTTCAACAATTGGCTCTTCAATTTCTTTACTAGGAATTTTATTTTTTTTGTTTATTATTTGAGAAAGCCTTGTTTCTCAACGTCAAGTAATTTATCCAATACATTTAAATTCTTCAATTGAATGACTTCAAAATACTCCACCAGCTGAACATAGTTATTCTGAATTACCACTTTTAACTAATTAATTTATTCTAATATGGCAGATTAGTGCAATGGATTTAAGCTCCATATATAAAGTATTTTACTTTTATTAGAAATTAATGACAACATGAGCTAGTCTAGGCCTTCAAGATAGAGCATCACCTCTTATAGAACAATTAACGTTTTTTCACGATCACGCACTTATAATTCTAGTAATAATTACAACTTTAGTTGGATATTTAATATTTATATTATTTTTTAATTCTTACACAAATCGAAATTTATTACATGGACAAACTATTGAAATAATTTGAACTATTTTACCAGCTATTGTTTTATTATTTATTGCTTTTCCTTCTCTTCGGTTATTATATTTATTAGATGAAATTAATGAACCTTCTATCACTTTAAAAGCTATTGGTCATCAATGATACTGAAGCTACGAATATTCAGATTTTATAAACGTAGAATTTGATTCTTATATAATCCCAACAAATGAATTATCAAATGATGGTTTCCGTTTATTAGATGTAGATAATCGAATTATTTTACCTATAAATTCACAAATTCGTATTTTAGTGACAGCCGCAGATGTAATTCATTCTTGAACTATCCCAGCTCTAGGAGTAAAAGTTGATGGAACTCCTGGGCGTCTAAATCAAACTAATTTTTTAATAAATCGACCTGGCTTATTTTATGGTCAATGTTCAGAAATTTGTGGAGCTAACCATAGTTTTATACCAATTGTAATTGAAAGAATTCCTACAAATTATTTTATTAAATGAATCACTAGCAGAGTTAATTAATTTTTAATCATTAGATGACTGAAAGCAAGTACTGGTCTGTTAAACCATTCTATAGTACAATAGATTAGCACTTACTTCTAATGAAAACAATTAGTTAAAATATAACATTAGTAAGTTAAACTAAAATTATTAAATTATTTAATATTTTTTAATTCCACAAATAGCACCAATCGGTTGATTAGGTTTATTTATTAGCTTCTCTTTAACATTTATTTTATTTAGAATACATAATTACTCCACAATCCTTCAATCCCATAAATCTCAAATTTCAAAAAAATCTCAAACTAATTCTATAAACTGCAAATGATAACATATTTTTTTCTGTGTTTGACCCTTCATCAAGGATTTTTAATTTATCATTAAAGTGAATAAGTACATTTCTTGGACTTCTACTGATTTCTTCTGCTTACTGATTAATATCTTATCGATGACACATTTTTTGAAACTCTCTTTTAATAACTCTTCACAAGGAATTTAAAACTTTATTAGGACCTAGTCGCCATTCAGGATCTACTTTTATTTTTGTCTCATTATTTTCATTAGTCTTATTTAATAATATTATAGGTTTATTTCCTTATATTTTTACAAGAACAAGCCATTTACCATTAACTCTTACATTAGCTTTACCTCTTTGATTATGTTTTATACTTTATGAATGAATTAATTATACGCAATATATATTTGCCCACTTAGTTTCTCACAAGAAACAAGGAACAACAGCAATTTTAATACCTTTTATAGTATGTATTGAAACTGTTAAAAATATTATTCGACCTGGAACATTAGCGGTTGGATTAGCCGCAAACATATTTGCAGGGCACTTACTTCTTACATTATTAGGCAATACAGGCCTGTCACTTTCAATAATTATTGTTTCACTTCTGGCTTGAATCAGCTGTAGCTATTATTCAATCTTACGTATTTGCCGTTTTAAGAACTTTATACTCTAGAGCGGTTAATTAATGTCAACACATTCAAATCACCCTTTTCATTTAGTAGATTATAGCCTATGACCTTTAACAGGAGCAATTGGTGCTATAACATCTGTTTCAGGTTTAGTAAAATGATTTCATCAATATGATATGATATATATGAAGTTTATCCCCAGCTATTGAATTGGGTGCATCATGTCCCCCAGCTGGAATTAATCCTTTCAATCCATTCCAAATTCGATTATTAAACACAGCTATCTCATTATCTTCAGGTGTTACTGTTGCATGAGCTCATCATAAATAGAAGGATACCATTCACAAGCTACTCAAAGTTCATTTTTTAAAGTTTTATTGGCTATTGATTTTACTATTTACAAGCTTACGAATACATTGAAACTCCATTTACTATTGCAGACTCAGGTTGCGGTGCAACTTTTTATAGCTGCAGGATTCCATGGAACTAATATAATAATTGGAACTTCTTTCTTTTTAATTTGTTTAATTCGACGCTTAAAGATTTTAAGCTGCTGCATGATACTGACATTTTGTCAATATTTTTTTAATATTTCCTTATATTTCAA